TACCCCGTGGCATGGCCTGTAAGCAAATTATTGGACTTTTTGCTTGGTGACGAATATGTGAGTCTTAATTATCCGGAACTTTTCTGGGGTCTTTCGTGATTTTTGGTTCTTTGCAAATGCTGAGTACTATGATCATAGCGACAAAAAGTTCTAAAAATTCAGCAAGCCTATGACCGGAAGCGTTTAATGGAACTGATTCGTATGTCTATCAAAGACGATGATGGAATGGTGTCAAATGAGTTGAAGATTGCGGTTGGTGCGATGGAAATAGCAGATAAAGTAGTGGAAGATGTCATGACGAAGCTGGCGGTAAGTATAGATTTTTGAAATCCGGGATCGCATGACTAATTTATTTAATCGAAAATTTTGCGAACTATACGAGTTACTATAGCCAGAAAAGAGAGACTTAAAAAGCTTGAAGTCTTCATTAATTTGTGAAAACCATATTTTTGTTATGTGAGCCTTTTTAGGATGTCTTCATGATACCCGACACAACTATACTCAACACCAAAACTGTGGCTGAAATTGTCAGAATGGGCTATACTAGAATTCCGGTATACTCTGATGGTGACAAAAACAACGTCACTGATCTTCTGTTTGTCAAAGTAAGGCGGTGCTGAGAATAATTCTAAATATGCTTCTAATTTACTGTTATTTAGGATCTAGCTCTTCTCGACCCAGATGATAACTTTACTGTCAAGACCGTATGTGGCTATCATAAGCATCCTGTAAAGTTTGTCTTCAATGACACACCACTAAGTATTCTTCTAGAAGCGTTCAAGAAAGTGAGTTTGGCGAGAATGACGGGGTTAAAGGCACCTCGCTGATAGATCTCCTTGGACGGACAACTGACATGAATTATAGTCTGCTGGGGTGCATGGTTTGTGTCAGATATCCGCTCGAGTGAGTCTACCGGCGTCGTCCCCTACTCCTACCATTTCCTAGCATCACAAGGGATTAAAGTAAGACATATTCTAGGGAGAAGGTCATTTGGCTATGGTCAAACAGCTCAACAATGCCGAAGACCATGATCCCACCTATGAATTGGTTGGTGTAGTTACACTTGAAGATATCGTCGAGGAGATCTTGCAGGTAGCCTTTTTTGTGCCATACTGTAGAGGAAAAACAAAGATTTTCAGGCTGAGATCAACGACGAGTTCGATATTGTCTCGGATAATGTGAATAAAATCAAGAGAAAAAATCTTCAGGTGAATATTTAGGTGTACGAGTATGGTATCTTTCAGCAATTTATTCTTATATGTTAATCAAGATTGTCTTGAGGCATAGTAACATAAAAGAGCTTACCAAATATTTTCTTAGGAACGATCCCACCGGCCCCATTTTCCAGAAAAAACGGGTGCAAGCCTGCCAAAAACCTCAGAATACCTAAATTTGTCAAAGAAATCTTGTTTCTTCTATAAAAAAAACTGACCTCCTTCAAATATTCTGCTATCACCACATTGGGTATGCATAGTGTATCATGTTCGCTAATAATCTTTGAAAAATGTGGCAAAGTTAAAAAAGTATTCCTCTACACTCAATCTCTAGTAGATTATCTTTGAGCCATATTTGTCCCATTGATTATATCAAAAAATTTTCAGCAACGTGATTTATCCAAACTATTTGACAAAGACGCACCACAAGTTCAAATTTCGCTGCAGGTTTGTTGATTTTTACTTCATTTTCATTTACAATCGTGCTCAAGAATAAGAGCTAAACATCCATAGGTTAAAGGCAGTGTTCCCTCAAAATCTCGCTCTCCGGTTTTTTAGCTCTTCGGAGCCTTGTCGCCATGCTGAAGCCATATCTGAGCTTTTAAGCGCTTGTAAATGGCAAAATGAGCTTTTTTCAAATCTCTCCGTGTCCAAGTTCGTTTCAAATTACATTTAAGAAGTGGGCGGGGTTCGGAAGAATTCTGGAGTGAATTTTGGGCCCCACAGAAACGCTTTTTCGCTCCAAACTTCACTGATAGTTTAATT